AGTGGTAACTATGTCATCATCCAATCTTCAAGATGGCCGACCCTTTTCGAAGACCTCGCTCGGCGAGGAACTTCGCCACGCCTTTGTATTAAGCCGACACAGATGGATCCAGCGAGGTGCACGTAACGGTTCTCGTGAGGTGAATCGACCCCTGGCCGAGAAAAAGAAAGGATCTCCATTTAATCGGGAGTCTTCTTTCAGCCGTCGACGTTCGACGCCACCCAACCAACACAAAATTGTGAAATTCATGTTTCATACACGTAGATTTAAGGGAAATAGGGCGGTAGGGGTAAAAATTAAACGTTTATCCACCCATGATTTTTTTTTTCTCTACGTTAAATATATATTTATCCTTATATAATATGTGTTTATACTTAGTCGAGATGAAACGTATACTCTAACGTAATGTATTTCTTTTTTAACAAATTTAACCTAGACGTAACAAATTACGGTAGCACTGGCGAGGCAGCATTCTAGCGGCATTTTTGAGTCCGAAAAATATTCAACTGGTATTAAAAAAGATCGTACATTAAATAGGACAGTGCAATAGTATCATGGCGCTCTAAGCAGGGCTGTCTACAAAGACGTACTTAAACATTTCCAGGACATTAGTAAAAAAGTTGTTTGTCTGGAGGGAAAAAAAGGAAAACGTTCGAAATCAAGTACTGTTAAACGCAAATTTTCTAACACATGTTATAAGTCTATTACACATATGTGCTACACTTATAACATATGTTATAAATTGTATTTGAAAATATGTAATAAAGTTCTGATACCACGTCCGAATAAAACTTCGAAGTCAAATGTTGTAAAATTGTAATATTCTTTTCAACGGTGTGTCCATGGGGTCCCGTTGTGGCTCGCCGCAAAGGCAATCCCTTCCCAGATAGACACCATTGTCTCGCACCTACCGTTACGTAAAGTAACGAGAGTCCGTACCATCCGTCCACGTTTGCGTTGGTCCCATCCAATTTACTCGGCCGTTTTTGGTTAGGCAATAAGTCGTCCTATTAGCTCGTGAAGGACGAAGTGTCGGTTTCGGTACGATGGATCCCAACCGGAACCACGAATCGACGAAAACTCGTCTGCAATGTCCTTTCGAGGTGAGCTCAATAATTGGGACGCCGACCCTGAGAGCCTACAGAAGAAAAATACGATACGTTAACGGAAAGGCTAACTGCGACGGCAATCACGTGTAAATGCAGGGGCAGCAGTTTTGTGGAATTCTGATTTCTCTTTCAGCAGCCTCGGGTGCTGTCGAATTAACGCTGGAAGTGCGAAATGAACGCATGTTTGTAGCTGTAGCTCCTGCCGCAGGGAAATGGGCAAATGCGCGAGGAGTACTTGAATTTACACACCGTGATTCTGAAATTATTGTCGCGATTAAGCTAGGAGGGATAGAAACGTTGCTGTAACGAGCTAATCGTTGCAGCATTTGAGGTTTCGACTGCAGGAGCGGCTTAATTCAATGTTTTCCTAAGCATCCAAGATGGCGGACCGCGCGTCGCCGAAGCGTCCTATTGCAGATTATAAAAAAACTCGTTCGTTACGAAGTTTGCGGTTTTATAACGTCTCGTAGTTTTAAGCCATCTACTGAACGTACTTAGAGAAATACTGAAATTGTTATAGTATTCGATGCGACGACTGGCGAGGAAGACTTAAAAGATTCCCAAGATGGCGGACCGCAGCACCCCGAGGCGTCCTATCAGAGGCTTTGAAAACTCATTCGTTACACAGTTTACAGGTTTATTACGTGTCCCTAATCCCGTAGTCGTTACAGTCATCCGCTAAACGTACTCGATTACAACCGAGAGAGGGGTCAGGCAGGGATTGAACCCACTCCAAGGTGCTCATTAAGCAGGAATAACGATCGCGTGCGCGTCAAAGTGTAGGATTCCTCGTTAGAGGCGTACTTTCATATCTGGGGTATTTTTTCTGAGCGAGACGGTTGCACAACCAGCGATGTCGCCTCGTGTGCTCCCATATTAGCAAGAGGCATTTCATATTTCATTATCTGGCAGCCTCCTTGCCCTTGTTGCGAGGAGCGCCGCGCTTCGTGGCGTCCTAACGCGCGACGGCGGCCATCTTGGCCGATCGCGGTTCACGTGTCTCCTTTTTCTCCGCATAAATATCAGGAAAAAAAAAAGAAAATCGGAACGCCGCGCTGCGATTGACAAATCGTAGGTGCAGGTGTATTTCGCAAGGTATTTACCAATCACCAGCAGACCAGACCGTTTTGGCCCGAGAAAATGCGTTAACCCCCAGGCACGACTGCCTCGCTTTTTCTCACGTTCTTTTTCCAAGCCGTTCTCTCCTTTCGCGCCCGCCATTGGCCCATTCCGTTCTCCACGTCGCGAAGTGCCCCGAAGAGCTCCCCGCGGCTTCTTCACCGTAAAGTTTCTCTCCACACTTCAAGGCCTCTTCGAATTTACCGAACATACCCTGGGGCATGCAAATAATAGGTGAAATATTTGCAAAAAGAATCGCCCAGTTGCGCCACTCCCGATTTCGCGTGACCGTTCTTTTGCCGCAATGGCGGCGGCAAGTTTCGGGCCCGTTTCACGGGAAGTCGTTACGTGTTATCGTTGCAAGATGATTGGAGAGGATTAGAAAAACACGGCGCAAACTGCCCAGGGTATTGTCGCGAAACGGAAGCACCGTTTCCATTGAGATACCAAGAAGAGAATGAATGAACGCTCGTTGACCAAAATGGAAGCTCATTGCATTCTGTTAGTCTCTACATGGTTGCGTGTTTTGTTGGCGGAAATTATGTGTGTATATATATACATATATATCGTTCCATTATTTGTCTGTTCTTCCATTGTTTTTAGTGTTTCGCGCCGAGACGCGTGCAGACTCGCCTGCGTGATTATTTTTTGTTCGCGATTCCAGGGCGGAAGTGGGTCGTAAGTTCAAGATGCGTGCTGATGCAATTGTTCGCCACTCGACCCGCAAACCCAGACAACGAAACAAGTACCGACGGTTTCCAGGAGCTTGTCCCGGTGCAGACGGCTGTGAGAACCGGGATCCGAAGCTTCTGAACGCTTATTGTCGAAGACATCGCGTGCCCGTTGATGCCGACCCGTTCCAAGAGGAAAAATGGCGGCGATTTCAATGCGCGGCCGCGCAGTACGTCGACGCGTCCACCGGAGCATTACCTCAACTGGATGTTCGATTAAACTTCGGGAAAAAGTTCCCCTCGATAACCGGCCATCCGTGCCGCCAGGATCCTTACAATCTGCAATAAAAAGCCTGAAAACAAACGTCGATTACCTGGAGAAGAAAAATTCATTCCTTACGTCGGACAACCTCGCGTCGTCTGGGAATGAAGGAATCCTCGTAATGCTCGTATTAAGTAAAACAGTACATACAGTAATGGTCTATCGTTCATATCGTATCTATGTCACGCGTAATACCTACTCCTAATCGGTTCTTGAATAGTTCTCCATTTTTTTTCCCCAGAGAAAAAAGACGCGAACAATTTTAATCACTCTCGCTTATAATTTAGTTTAATACTTCTTAATTTAATAATGAGGAAAATAATGTTTCAATAACAACGTACCATAGCAAAAATTTGAAATATTGTACCTTTAACGTTTATAACCTTAATGTAATTAAAAATGAGTTGTCCCTTAATGATCGAGTGATATCGAGTTTTCCCACGTTTTTCTGCTACCTACGTGCCTCTTGGCACTGTTTCAAAAGTATCGGCGCGTTTAGGTGTAATAAAAAAAAGAAAAGAGAATTATCCCAAGATTATCCAAGAATCGATAAGTAGCACTATCGATTATGCAATGGCACCCGAACGGCGCGACAGAAAATTCAAAATGGCGGCGCAAAGAAACCGAATCTCGACCCGCTCACCCGAGACGGGGGGATTCGCGATAATGGCTTATTGCGAAGTCAATCTGCGCCGGTTAAAAACGGGGAAAAAGGAGGGCCCTGCGTTTTTGCAGGGCCCACAAAGAGCGTTAAAGAGCGAACGCGAAATTCCGGGGTTCTTGCAGTTGCTGAGCTCGAAAGCGCACCGGACCGTATCAGCCAAGTTGGTACATACGTTATGATAATAACGATAACGGCGCAACCAGCATCGACCCCTGTACGCTACTTTAGGTGGACAAAGCTCGCACAATTGCCCGCACTTCCGTCCCACCTCTCAAAGAATTGCCCAACCGCCGCCATCTTGTTCCGTCGTGTGCAAATTAACCGGCGAAAGTCGCGAATCGTTCGCGCTGTAAACCGGAAGTCCATTTACATGCACAGAGGATCCCCATCGGGGAGATTTTCACCGGTAATTTAATTCTAAACCACCTCGATAAAAACCTTTCTCCCCTGTTGTATGAAAACATTGGCGACGCGATTTTCGCCCGTTACCCCGCAAGGCATTCCTGACTCGCCATTATGCTATGTTAAATTAGGAAATGCTACGTTAAATATTAATGCGGATTATCAGTCCGGTACTTTCGAGGAAAATTGATAAATCACGTAACACCTGCCAGTTATTGTCCAGCTACTCGAGTGGCGGCCTCTTAAACGGCGATTTAATTGAATTAGAAATTGATGGTCAGTGGTGGGATTTAGAACCAGTTGTTCCTTTATCGCGCCATTTCTCGCTGCAGCTGTTGTCGGGGATAACGGACCTGGGCTCTGATAAATACATTATTTAACACTTTTTCCGTCAATAAGAAGCAGACCTCGATTGTTGGCCACGAACCTGTTACACGCCCGGCCCAGTTTCGAACCACTTTCGGCCGATCGGGATTGTGAAAATCGATTGTGGTAATCGCAAGGGGTAGGTCAGTAACTGGACCTGATCCTTGAAGGTGACATTACAATTTCTTTCATTTCCATATTTTTCCTTTCATCCTATCAAGATTTTCGACCGCGGTGACATTGAAATTTCTTTCGTTTCCATTTAATCATCGGATCAGGATTTTCGACTGCGAGTTTACAAGTGAATTTTAACGGGTGTCTCAAAGGATCATTGCGTCTCTTTTCAGCGGATCCTGCTGCGGCGCAAGGATGGCCGACACCTCTCCAGGAGTCTTTGGACGAGAAAAACGACGCCGAAATCTTTAAGGCAGTCGTGGAGTCGATGAGAGAATGGGAGACTCACAGGAAATACTCTCACAGGACGAAAAGGGAGGTCTCCAGGGTTTGCTACGAGGATGTCGGTTGCTTCGAGGACACCGGCCCTTTTAGCTACCTGGAGAGGCTGCCATCGCCACCGAAGGATGTCGGAACCAGGTACCCTGATTCAGGACTTAACCCAAAGAAAAAATAATTCCCCTCAGTAAGCAATAAATATTGAAGAAAAATATAAGGAATATACCCTTACATACATTATGCTGATTATCGACATGAAATTTAAAGAACAATTTCAATTGTTTTTTAAAATTATCCAGGTTCTTTCGGCATCAAATTTAGATAATCTCATTATTTTTTTTATCTCCCAGGTTCTTGGTGTATGGAAGCAGGAAAGCAAGGTCCATTCCCATGGAGGTGCCAGCCGACGATATCAATGATAACGCCCATCGAGCTATAGATCCCGATCTTCCCACCAAAGTGATCGTCCACGGCTTTGGATCTGGCTGCGAGCATGTCTGGGTCTACGAGATGAGATCCGCTCTCATGTCGGTCCAGGAATGTAACATAGGTACATTAAGTCCATCCAATCCAGCAAATGTCCAAAGAAAAAGTATGCAATTATTTTTTTATCACATTCTTCCATTTTTCATTCCAGTCTGCGTCGATTGGGGTCCAGGAAGTGCGATGCCCAACTATGTAAGGGCAGCAGCCAACACCAGACTAGTTGGACGACAGCTGGCCAAGCTGGTCCGCAATCTTAATGTACCTCTTGATAAGGTCCACCTGATAGGATTCAGTTTAGGTGCCCACGTGGCAGGATTCGCAGGTGCAGAGTTAGGCAACGTCTCCAGAATCACAGGTCAGACTTCCTATCTTCACCTTAAGGTGATATCAATGTGGCTACTTAGGGGTCAATCATTTTCCCAACATTTCGCTCACCTCGGTTAACCCAATCGTTCGAAATTTCACCACGCAATTATGGAGACCCTAAGGAAGGTCTTGACCCCCAATAAATTCCATTTTATATATAAAAAGAAATAAAAATTGTTCACGAAAAAAGATTAAAAAATGAAATTTCATGAGAATCAGGACCTTTCTTAGAGCGTACATATTCACGTGGTAAGATTCGAGACTATTCGGTTCGCTTCAATTTTCATTGCAATGTCTAGTTTTCCCATCGTAGCTTCGAAAATGAACTTCCGCGAGATTAATCCACTAAATTGCTGGTCACGTGTGATAAGTGCATTGGCACGTGTTGGTGCACACGTAACTGCATTCCGGTGATGCACTGCTGCACCTCGTGAGAGAGGTTCGAAGCTACGTAATGGATGATTGTTACCAAGGAAGAGTTCCAGACTTTTTTCGAAACTTTCTGAACTTTTTGGCCGGAATATCGGGTTAATTATTTGCGTTGATTCTCTTCTTGCAGGACTCGATCCAGCGGGACCTCTTTTCGAGTCCCAGGACCCCAAGGCTCGATTAGACGCCTCCGATGCACGTTTCGTGGATGTCATCCATAGTAATGGCGAACAGCTGATCCTGGGAGGCTTGGGATCGTGGCAACCCATGGGTCATGTCGACTTTTATCCCAATGGAGGCAGGATGCAGACAGGATGCTCCAATCTCTTCCTTGGAGCAGTCTCCGATATAATCTGGTGTAAGTTAAGGCGGTTTCTAAGCCGTGTGAAATAATTATACATAAATGTGTGCTAGTATTAAAACGGTCTAAGTTAAAAATTTAAAATAAATTAATTTCGTCCCACACCTTCTGTTGCATATACTTAAATGACAATAACAACAAAAAAATGACAGACCATTTTGATAATTAAGGGCACAATTAATCTGCAAATCCGTCGTTTTTAACGGTTATCAGCCCCCAAGTTTTTCTATTGCTTCCGTTTTGTCAGGGCTTACCTGTGTTGAGCAAAAAACATTGTTTATTGAACATGAAAGGTAACGTTCAAATCGAATTACCGGATGTTACAAATCCTAAAACGTGGGTCTCAAAATAAACGGAAGCTAACAAAGTTTGGGATCCGAGGTAATTTGTCATCCGTGAAGAGAATCCTGCATCGTGATGAAGAGTACTTGCAAAATGTTTCAGTGAAAAAAAATTTGAAAATAATTGTAACTTTAAGGGGAATCACGGGAGACCTTGATCGAGTCTCGTCGTAAGGAAATGGAAACCGAGAAAAAATCTTAAAGTCAGACCCGGCGGAAGATTCTGCGACCGAGCCGACCGTGGATTAGAAAGCAACTTGGTCTTTTCACTTCTGCTACGGACTGGGAGGATCTCGTTACCTCCCACACGAAGAAGAAAAACCGATCTGTTTCTCCCCGGAGGGAAGAAAGTGGGTCATTGGCAACGAGCATTGCTCGTCGGATCACTTTTCATAGCGTCCGATAATTCCGAATGGTCTTAACGAGCGTCCATAAATTAGACGATTTAAGGACACTCAACGCCGGCCATTAAATCCTAACCTCTCAAGAATTTTCCTCCATAGCCGAGTATACACCTCGCATTAACCTCAAGCTCCATTAACTCCCCATTAAATAATTCTCGTGAATCATATTCACATATGTATATATAAAAGGAATTTCACGTTCTAAAGTAAATAAGACTAAAATTCAGATATACCTTTCCCATACGAGGAGCGAATACAAAATGGCCGAATCGAGTCCCACTTAATTTATGGAAAAAAAAAAAATGTAGGAAAATGGGATTTAATCTAGGATCGACTTTCTATTGAACTTTCTTCGTTTTGGGAGCTCGGAGCTTAGCAAAGTTATTTTTCCTTTGCAGCCAGCGCAGTGGAGGGCAGGTCTTTGTGTAACCATCGCAGAGCTTACAAGTTCTTCACCGATTCCGTGAGTCCAAAATGTCGGTTCCCGGCGTTTCCCTGTGACCATGGCTACGATGGGCTTCTTCGAGGGGACTGCTTCCCATGCGGAGTTAACGGCGCTAACAAACAGTGCGGGGATATGGGGTATTACAGTGACGTCTCACCTGGAAGAGGGCAACTCTACTTGGTGACCAGAGATGAGGAGCCATTTTGCGCTCATCAGTACCAAGTCAAAGTTTACAATAGTCGAGGAGAAAGACCTGCCAGGAGTTATGGAAAACTTCAGCTGACCCTGGTGGGTGAATCATCCTTCAACGAGACCTTTACTATGACTCGTAAAGACGACGAAGAGCTCCTCGTCGGCGCCATTTTGCACAAGATCGTCGTGCCGCATCCCGCCATCTTGAATCTCGAGGCGATTGAGGTACCACTTAATTTACAGCTGTAATTAATATTTTAATACATCGATTGGCGAAATAATTTCTATTGACAAAAAAAAACAAAAAGACCCTACATAATTAGAAACAACGTTCTAAAGAGGGGTTTTGTACCCAGAAGTAAAAAGAATCAGGCATAAAACAATGACTGAGTACGCTAAACGAGCAAGATCTGGCCTTGACAATCTGTTGAAACGCAATTATATCGAGTAAATGGCGCGAAACATTTTGAGAAAATTACAGTAATTATTAAAACCAATGTCATTTATATATTTCAATTGTGAACCAGTCAGGAGATTTAGATACGGAGATATTAACTCTTACAAGTTTGCCATGGCCATCCTTGACGTAAAGAAACTCGGTTGCGTTCGCGTGCGTACATGCAAACGTGTGTGTATTTGGCGCGGAACTCTGCCAAGATTTTTGATTTTCTTCCTACAGATGATCTCTGTTTTTTTTTAGATAAAATACACGGCCTACAGTGGGTGGATCTCCTCAGGGCTGGTATCTTGGAGCATCGACAAGGTTGGAATAGTGGACAGTTTCGGGAAGAGCTTGTCGATCTGCAAACGAGGCCTTACCCTGGAATCGGGCAGATCGGTTTATCTGCGACTTTATCCTGGGGAATGCAACATTCCCCCAGAACCGGAGACCCAGTTCCCAGAGACGTCACAAAAGCCTTTCCTGGTGGAACAATTTGCTCAGGACAAGCAGGGCGGCATAGGGCCCTTCACAAAGGAGCAAAACTACGAGAAAGGAAGCTACAAGATGGAAGTAATTCCCAGCGAAATCGCCCAACCTGAGAAAGGTCTTGGACCCTTTACAAAGGACCAGAACCCGGTCTTCGACGAGGATTTCCAGCCACAAAACATCTTCGGCAACGTCCAGATCTTCTCCGGAGGTTCTGAGGGCGGTCAGTCATCAGGTAATCCTTGGTCCGTGGCTGATCTGAACGACGGAGCCTCGAACTCCTTGGAGAACGTCGAGGGCGAAAAGGGCAGAGGCTTCTCCAACCCTAGATTCTCCAGGAAGTCGTCGACCATCGGTTCTCCAAAATCCACGAGCACAACGGATGGATCTAAGGACATCCAGGAGCCAGTTTTGCAGAAAAAGGAGACAGGTAGATCGCTGAGGCTCCCAGAAATCACAGAACCTGTGTTGAGACCAAGGGGTTCCAGGCAAAATCCAAGTCCGCAGGACTCCGGGAAGATACTGAAGATTCAGGATCCTGATCCTTTCCCCAGAGGATTCACCGTGCAGTTCCTTCCAGAGAGACTCGCCGGGATTCTTGCTCAAGCTGAGAGATACGCCAGGCAGACTTTGTTGCCTTTAATCTCGCAGTATACTCCTAGTTTCGTGGGAGGTACTCGAAGAGACGAGCCCAAATATTTCCCACCTTTGGGAGACATTGCTGAAGTGACCCTGGAAGATGTTACGAAGGGGTCCAGGGAGAGGGTCACGACTGAAAAATCTGGGAAAAGTGGAAACGGGAGGGGAGAGGATGCAGCCTCGCAGAGGAAGGCGAAGAACCAGGATAACGGTCCAGTTTTTATGGGGTCCAAGGACTCTTCAGGGTCTGATGGCTCATCTGGTGTCCAAAATACCACCGCAATGGTGGTCGAACTCTCGACCAGCTCTTCAGGGACTTCTAGTGTTAATAATCAGGGAGACGAAGACTGGGTGCCCGTAAGCAGGAAGACCATCATCGTCCCTGAGAACCTGAAGACGAGTAAACCGACTTCAACTCAAAGTCCGTCCATTATCAAGGAATCCACAACGTTGAAGGCAAAATACGAAAGCAAGTGGCTGAGCGAAGGCGATGGAGGCTGGTCCTCACAACCTGAAGAGCAGGATGCAGTTCTTGAAACGAAAATCTCAGACTGGGCCCCAGTGACCGATAAATCGCCAGTCGACCTTGAGGACCAGCCAACCTCTTCGGCAACTCAAACCGAGAAGTCCGAAGAAATGCCGATGAAGAAACCAGAAGTTTCCACAGTTGGGCCCGGAAGAGAGATCATTATTCCTCTCACGGGGGCGGAGGTGAAGAAGAGCAACGATGACACCCTGAAGACTAGACACGGCAAAAACTCGACCGGAAGAGACGAGCGGAAATACATTCCTCTGGTGGACTTCGAGCACCCTGATGAATTCTTCGCCTCCACTGTCGACAAGGTCGACACAGAACATTCTAAACAAGATTTGTCGACCAGCACGGAGACTGTTTCCCATATCCAGAAAATCCCTACGACTGCTGGGAGCAAATCTACTACCAAAAGTCAGCCCGTCATGAGAACCATAGTCTTCCCATACGCTTACGAGAAGCAGAAGGACCCCAGGACGAGGTACATCCCCCTAATCCCTGAAGAAGACATGGGAAAACCCTTTTCAGACACGGAAAGGGACCGATAAGAGGTCGGCGACCCTGATCACCGTGTGATCAATTTTAATCGCGAAAGCGGAGAGAGCTTACTCGAAGTTGTTCATTTTCACGAGAATCTACTGGAATTACATGCTAAAACGTCCCGAACATTATTGCGGTGTTTACTGTTTACGATTTGACACTTGATTTCAAATAAAGTTGTTTAAATAAAGTCCCATAAAGGAAGTTGTCATGTGCCACTTTAAAGCGCAGACTTCGCTCTACACTTCTGGGCCCACGAGTGATTACTAAAAATACGCTAGCAAAATGTAGCACGCCCAATTTGTTAAGATTAACCAGGATGAAGGAGTACAGAGAATCGCCCTGTAAATAGCCTGTTAATGTACAGTAATCGAGAAAATTAATATCGCCGGAAGAATTGGCACTTCGTAAGCGGATCAGTGTTTGGTAAAAATCGGTAGCCCCTAACTTTATTACTTTTGTATATAGGAATCTTTACTATATATATAATTCAGTGAAATTCTCTTATGTTCATTCGCGCTATGCCGTGTTACCGGTAATCAGTAGTTAATTATCGGCATACCCTCGTCACGTGATCGACACCACCTCGGCGTCGTGAACCATTTAGGATGCGATTAATGGTAAACCTATTTAAAAACTTGTTTGTATACACATGTAATACCAGCCAGTGCAGAAAGACCCACGAGGATCGAATAATCGGGTTTCCGCTCTTCTTCCGAGTCCCGTTTCGACGTCCTGGAAGTATTTACAGCCGCGACATGGACGCCATCTTGTTTAGCGCGAAGGCGGTAGGCGTTTCGCGGACGAGTCATATATAATATGTATATAAATATAAATGGAAGAGGCGATGTCAGTGTTTCCACTTAAAATAAATAATTCTATTTCCCTTCTAAATGCGCCCCCCACTCGGCCGAACTCGCGTCCGCGTTTGCAATTCTAGATTTTTGCAACTCCTCGAATTGAATGTCCGCCATCTTGGGATGTGGCCCTCCTGATATGTCCTCGCCCTTAAGAGGAAGGGAATATGAAACCTCCGCGATGAAAATTTATAATTATCAGTCCCTGCGGAACGGTAATATATATATATTTCTTTTTATCCGCGAGGAACCATTTAATTCGACCCCTTCGGGCGATTAAATAAGGAAACGAGATTTATACCAACGCGATGTGGAACACGGTCGGACATTTCTCTGTTCTTTCGTTTGCTATTTTTCCGTAGCTTTCTTTAAGCGGTTTTATTCGTTCAATGTCAATTCGGCCTGGGTTGTGAAGGCGATAGCTTGTGCTTAAGTGTGATTTATATTCGTCAAGGAATTTACCGGATTTTAGTGTCTACTATACTTCCTCTTCGTCGTACCAAGCGCAAAATGATAAGGAAACACCAAAAGGTTTAGGTTACTATTGTATTTCGTAACTCCATAGGCCCTTCCCCTTAAAGCTTAAAAAGCTACACGCGTTCTCGCAGTCCTTTCCTCGCAATATATGTCATCAGGTACTTACCGATTCGTTAACATCGAAGCAAGAGTTCGACCGCGTTCTAAGTAAACGCAAAGTATAACCGCCTACTCTGGGCACAGGGCAATTCGAAAACGCCCCCGCAAATCCCGTGAAAAGTGAGATCGAAAACCTCCTTATGGAAATTTCGAGCAATCGCCTCAATCCCCTCGGAATATTAACAATAGATATGCGTCGCTTCACGAATTCTCACGAATTATTTCCCACTTTTAAAGGGACGTGAAAGTGGTAACCGAGAGATAATCGTTTATAAAACTTTTCTCCGAACTGAGTACACCGAATCGGTTCAAACATTACAAGGTGAATATACAGACTATAGTACAGGTGCTGACACGCATGAAATTTTATTTTTTTCTCAAATATTTTCAAAATAGTAGAGGAATTTTTGAACATTTTTTGAAAGGATTAGTTGCCCACGGTTTGGAGAAGTTTCATAAACGCGACCTTTTTCGTGCCACTTTCACATCACCTTAGGTTCATAAACGTGTCCGAATAATACCTGGCTAATTGAGAATTCCAGGAAATTTGTCAAATGAGATTTTCGACTCGCTCATCGAGGAACGCGCCGCGGGAAAACTGAACCTCGAGTTACCCTGGCAATAATGGATATAAATAATGTATATCTCGCCGGTACATGGAAGAGGACACAAGTGCCTCGAGCGGATTGCTTTGTTTCCGGGTAAGAGAGAGAAGAAAAAGAAAAATAAAATAAATTCGAACATCCTACTTACAAACATATTTAACAAACACGCAGTCTTATTAACCCTGGCGCCCGCGGCCGGGCCCCGTCGATCTGAAAGGCTTAAGTCTAACGCTTCTTCCCCTCCGAATTTAGTTCGACCCTCCAAAGAATACCATTTTGAAGAGGTCGATCGAATTCCGCGCGACAAGTTCTCCCAAATAATTGGCCAATTACCGAGTAACCGAACTTTGTCGCACGCACTCGTTCTCCTCCCTACCCTACTTTCACGCGGTACCGAAAAGTACCGAGGAAAACGCATGCCCACGAATCGACCGTACAAACTCGATTTCCACTCCCGTCTACCTTTCTCCCTCGTGTAATAAAATCGGTTATTAAAAATGTGAACTTTCTCTTCGCTCGCTCGCGCGTGCGACACACGACGGACGTTCTTACGATTCCTCTCCTGCATTGGCAAACATCACTCATCCCGATTCGTTTAATACTCTCATGTACTCGTCTCAACGTCCTTAAGAAGTCTACTTGTATCTTTTCCTAGCTCTACGATGTACAAAATATAAGGCCGCCTCAATAATACACTGACTAGAGCAGTTTCAATATTATTCCCTTGCCGCCTCCCTGCGAACTCTGGTTTACCGTTAAGCTTCTAAATCCGTCAACAAAAATATCCCAGACGCGGATCTCTTCTCTGACGCTCGCACTTTCATACACGTTAGCATTATCCTTCAACAAAATATAGGTACAGGTTCTCATGCTCGCGTCCCGAGAAGCAAACGTGGCACGTACTACGTGAGTCATGGCGTCCTCGCGGTCGGCTGACCGTTCAATATCTTAAAAACATGTCCCAGGTTCGCTTGATTCCTTTAAAATAATTCAAGAAATGGACCCATCTACTGTTCATTTCTCACGCTGTATGTGAAATTTCGGAAAATGCATCGGCTGGCGAATTACTCGTTCCCATCCAAGATGGCCGCCTCTTTGACTAACGTATTCTTCGAATACTTAACGCGTTTCGATAATACTGCCACGCTTGCGAGCTCTGGTCAATCGTTAAGGGAACACTTCAGTGAAATTCCAGATATTTTCGAAAAAAGAAAAAACGTTAATAGAACCTTAAGAGTTCTTATGGCGATGTGAAAATGGCGTCAGAGGTCTCGTTTACGAAGCTTTTCTCCTAACTGGGTGCACCGAATCGTTTCAAATTTTACCATGTAAATATCGAGGCCCTAAGGAAAGTCCTAACACTCGTGAGATTTCAATTTTTTTTAAATCTGTTCATAAATATTTCCTACATTTTTTTATAAACAGTGAAATGCCATGGGTGTAAAGACCTTTCTTAGGGCCTCCACGTTTATGTGGTAAAGTTTAAAACGATTCGGTATGTTGGGTTCTTAGAAGTTTCATGAATTGATCTCCTGAATGCAGCTTTCACACCGCCTTAAATGGGGGACTCTTAAAATCTGTCCATTTTGAATTTCAGTGTAATGTTCACTTAAACGTCTATATCAACAAAAATATTTAGGATATGGAGTCTCTCTCTCTCTTTCTCTCGCACACAAATTACACGAACTTCCTGCCCTTCTTCGCCAACACACACCCATACAAACTCTTATGCTACCGTTTATCTGCCAACAAAATATACAATTTTCTCCCCTGCCGTCCGTTGGCCAAACTGTGGCACGCACTTCTGTAGTCGTCTTGCGAACTGTTAGTTGACAGACATTTTGGACTCGTTTGGTCTTCTTATTATGGACCCTCCCAGCGAAAACGACACCCGACAATGTGTCAATTTCTCCCAGAATACCCGCAATTGTAGGCCTTAGACAACAACGACCACGACCACGACCTTCGCAGAGCCCGCGAGAATCGACCTCGTCGCATCGATCTATCACCTAAGTTATTAAAAACGTGGAACTCTTTTAGACGTCTCCTGTGACTATTGACTGCTGTTTCGTCCGCGGGGCTATTCGCTCGGAAATCAGTGAAAACGATTTCCTTCATTCAGAACCTGTTGCCTTTGATTTCACGTGACAATTTGTTTCGGTAACAAGTAACGATCAGCCTTAAAATTGCAACAATGTTTCGGCGATTTCTACTTGCGACTTCCACCTGATTCCCACGTGATCTCGAGCATGGGATGTTACAGCGCAGCTGTATAGAAGTCTTATATTTTCTAAAGGTAGCCATGTTTGCTAACCAACCAATGACGCTTTTAATGTATTTCAATATGGCGGCGTTTTGGAAGGCGCAGAACCAATAAGAAAAAAAAAATAAGGCCTTCGTGGAGCACACCTTGTCTCCTTTGACATTATAATTTTGAGTATCGATATCCACGACTTCCTGAGTGAATATCCCCCCGGTTTCACCTCTTTTACTTTCCATCACTTTTTCCGCAATAATCTAAGTACTCTTATGAAGTCGCGTCCAGCCCGGGACGCCGTATCAGTGATCAGGAATTCTTGGAAGCGCCTCCTCCCGGCAAGATGTCGCAAAAGTCAATGCTCGAGGTCGATCAAGAAACTCGAGATCTTAGATCAATTTATCCGAAGGCTGACGTACGAGGGACGGAGTTTCGCTAATTAGGAACTACGAGGGAAACGCCAAAGTCGGACACCGACGAAAACCTTAGGGCCGCTTTCCAAGACGCGTCTTCAGCGAGTTCTGCATCGACTGCAGAAACGTCTTAATACTTAAAGAAAAGGAGAAGCAAAGATTGGCACTCGCTTAACAGGGGGTAAAAGAAAAAAATTACTACATTCTCCCGCGTCGTGCGAACTCGCATATGAAAACGTCCTAATCTAGCATCTCGATAAGATGACGTGAAATTGGCATCCGAGGGGTCAATCGTTCATATAACTTTTCTCTGAACTAGATCTACCGAATCGTTTGAAATATTAAAATGTGAATACGGAGACTCTAGGGGAGGTCCCGACACCCATGAAATTTCATTTCTTCTTCTAAAAAAAAAAGAAAGGTCTAGCGTCTGTAAACAAATTTTTAGAAAATTGAAATTTCATGGGTGTCGGGACTTTTCATATTCCCTTCATATTCACGGTCTAAAGTTTGGAACGATTTGGTGCATCCAGCTCGGGGAAAAGTTTCATAAAACAAGACTTCTTTGACGCCACTTTCACATCACCGTAAATGATGAATTAATCAGTCCCGCAGTCCAGCTTTGTATTTTGGGTCGGAGTATCGATGCGATCAGCTGATCGCCTCGGCTCATTTCCGGTGGAGTGCGAGTACATTCGAGCGGATACATCGGAGAGAAGGTACATCGTCAAAAGACATCACAGTTACGTTGCTAGATTTCGGGTAAAAATGTCCACCGGTGCCTGGAGGCCTCGCGCATCCTCCACCGGAGATGAGTCACGGCGGGATGACGACGGTGTCTCTCGCTCTTATTTTAGTTACAGTTTTTAATGCATAACACGATCGCACCGAGGTCCTGCCAAATTCAAAGGGTATTTTTCATCCGGCTCGTCCGACTCGCGAGCCTCTGCCAAAGTGATTCTCGAGTTCGGTTGGAAGCAGAACGTTCGAGTTTCAAGAGCAAGTCGCTGCACCGGGCGAAACCGCCTTGCAGTCGCAAGTACACGCATCATCGCCCAAAACATGTCCGTCACCAGACTACGCCAGACTTCACCTGAACGCTGGTATCATCGCATCGAGGTGGGAACCGAGGACTTCACGTGCCACGTGCCGGTTTTTCGCGATCGCCCCGATGCAGGTGCACTATGATGCAGCATGTTTTAAATGATGATTGCCCAATGAGGAGCTACGCGTCTATCATAAGGTGCCGACGAGTTCATCGCTTCTTGCAGAAGACGAACAATTTGCAGCGCCAGTCTTCGCCGATGACTAATGTGCAGGTGCAACGCGGTGCAGTTGCGCTCGTCATCGGCCGAGCTGAGGTCAGCGATTAGGAAGGAGCCAGTAAGCTTGAAATAGCCTGAAGCAGCCTGAAGTAGCCTGGGGCAGCCTCAGACAGTCTGAAACAGCCTAAAACAGCCTCTTCTTGAAGTCGTTCCCGCGAGGATCTCGAGTCCTTCCGCTGGTCCTCAGCATCTTGGACCAGCTGCAGAGTTTCCTTTCGAATTGAAAGGGGTGTCACATGCGATGTCCTAGACCAGCAGACATCTTCCTGGGATCAGCTGCAGCTTGGAATCACCAAAATCGGGACAGCCAGATCCTGTGTCCTTCCCCAAGGATGTATATCCCCGAAGCTGGTGCTCTTCTAGGATCGGCTGCAGTTGCAGAGCCTAAAGCGACCAGCTGGGCGACTACATCCGGGCTCCTTCCCAAGGCGAAAGGTCCTGTGAGGCCAGCTTTCAGGCTGCAAGCATCATCCCCGAGGTTGCATACGACATTCCATGCTTCAGTCCTGAAGATGATGCAGAGAACCCGATATCTTCGAGTAAATTCCCCGGGCGAGAGTTTTCGCAATTTCGCGGTTTCAGCTCTTCGTTCAAGAAGATGATCCCGAAGACAGGCCGGTATCTTCGAGTCACTCCCCCGGGCGGGAGTTTCACGAGCCCGTGTCCTTGCACTCTCGCCACTCCGAGGTCTGCAGATTCTAGGATCATCCGGCGAGGACCTAGCCGTCGAACGCATCCTTGTACCTGCGGCTCCATCATTTCTTGTCGAAAAGGGGCAGCTTGCTGCGAACGGCTCCCTCGCAAACGACCAGTCGTTGGGCAGCTGAAATGTTGCAGAGAGGAACGGTGCCTTCCAGACTCGCCCTCAGCAGGGCCATCCTGCTGGGTCCAGCATCGATACCGTCCCCCAGCCTAAGATTCCCAGACGTAGCCTGCTTCCTCTCGAAATACTCGACGATCTTGGAGATAGTCTTGCTGGAAGAGCCCAAGCCCCCCAGCCTGTCTTCCCAGCAGGACGAGTCGCCCCCGCCCAAACTAGCGATGTCCTCCGAAGAATCGGTGTAGATGGAGCTGGTCCTATGATCGTCCAGAAGAAACAGACTACTGGCAGCCGAGCTGCTCAAGGTCGAGGCGTGTCTTCGATTCGGAGGCTCCGGGCTTAAATCCTCCCCGACGCAGCTCCAGAACCCGGACTCGCAGCTTCCTCGTCTTCTGGGCTCCCAGCCTTCCCTGAAGAGCGGATGGGCGAACAGGCTCGCGGCTCCGACCTTCGTCGCCACCTGGAAATGTCGGGAATTAACATCCATGGGAAACGCTCTAGCTAGCTTCTGTCATTCTTTCTTTGTTTACAGAAAATCACCCCGAACCGCTAACTTCCCTAGTGCATGAGTCTAGGCAGTATACAGGAAAGAAAGCTGCAAGCAGCTCCTCTGGCTCTACATCGGTCTAACTTCTCCCTTATAGCTCGTCTTAAATCTACCTTCTTCTCCCACTTTTTCCTGGCGGTCGGGCTGCTCGGCTCGGAGTTTGGCTTTTTCCTCTCAAGGATTTTGGCAATGCTGTCGTTCTGGGCGGGCTTGAATTTGGAGGATCCATCCGTCACGCTCGGCCTGACGTCCTCCAGGGAGGGGAGCTCCAGGCAACTCGAGAAGAGGTCCCCCAGGATCTTCTTCACACCTCCGAGGGCGTGGAACGGATTCGCCGTCATCGGCTTGTAATGAGGGTCTCTTCTGCTCGCAAGCTCCGCCACTCTCCTGGCGGAATGACAACGTGCTTTGTCCGAAGGGGTTGCATTGTCGCATCCCCTTGCATCTGCCGAATGGCTCCGCAGCTTCGCCGGTTTGCGTCTGCAGCTTCTACCTTCGCGGGCGATCTCGTCCAGGAGAGCTGGATCAGACAGCAGGGCTGGATCAGCTGATTGCCGTTTACCGATGCTCCTCCTCGACTCGTCCTCGTAGCTGCTAATCAGACTGTCCAGGGTGCAGCCGATCTCGGGGAAGGTCGGCCTCGACTTTGGCTCGTACTGCAAAACAGAATTTCGTGGCTTACATGATTTCCCGCGCTGAGAAAAAAAAAAAACTCTTTCTCTCTATCACATTCCTCCAGCCAGTTTCGAGATTACGTAAAATCTGAACGGATATCGGTAAGAGTAACTAAATTATTTATAACAAAAAAAATAAGTCGCCCAATCATATGCAAACATGCAGTCAGCTCGTCACGCTTAATTTCTCACGCTCAATTTCAACGTCAAGCCATCGACTCCAATCTTCACCGAATATCCAGTTATCAGGACGGATCTCCTTTCACTGATTTTACAACCGCGAATTCCGACGCTTTCTTCCCGATAACAATCGCCCAACTCTTTGCGAGTAGCGCCATATCTGTACCGTGTACGTGCCATATACGTGCATATCCGTACAGATTCACGTCCTGCCGTGATTACCAGTGATAGAACCGTCAAGAAGAAATAAATTCTTCACTAGAGAAACTCCCAGTAATTGTAATGATTTTAAACCAAATGGAAGGTATTCTATATGAATAAAGAAAGTGCGAATGGAATAAAAAATCTCCAACAATTGCACGAAGAGCTACCATTGGGTCACTTTGACCCGTCATCGTATCATAACTATATGCAACAAATGTAAACATCTCATCTTAAGGAAGGTCCTCACAACCATTAAATGTCAACTTTCTCGAAATTTGTCTTCCAGGCGTTTTAAAAATTACGTATGCAAAAAAGAAATGAAATTTCATGGACGTTGCGACCTTCCCTACATCCTCCAGATCGACGTCGCAAATTTCTAAACTATTAGGTACACCCAGCTCGGAGGAAAGTTCCACAAGCGATTGATCCCTCGGATGTCGGATTCGCATCTCCATAAATCCGAGTTACATTTCCATCGGTGCACGGACGTGCACCCGAGCTTACAGTGCAGCAGTTGAAGGCGAGTTGCAGAAATGCTGGTGGAGGGTCCGCAGCAGCACAGATCTCGGCAACGGCCAGATAGTCGAGGCCGAAGTTATCGGAGCGGGGCAAAACGTCCGGATCTGCCGGCACCCGTCCTATCAGCTCGCAGACGACGATGCCGAAGGAGAAGACGTCCGACCGGTGGTCATACCACTGGCCTTTGAGACATTCCGGAGACATCCAGTAGGGACTGCCAACAGTGCTCAGCCTGTACCCTGAGCTAGGGTCGGGAATTCTCGCAGCCAACCCGAAATCCCCGACCACGGCGGTCATCTCTCCGCTGGTTTCCTCCCTCTTGATCAGCACGTTCTTCGAGGTCAGGTCGCGATGAAAGAGGCCTCGACTGTGCAGATACGTCATCCCCCGGGCCACGTCTCTGGCCAGGTTCATCCTGACGAGGTGGGGCAACGGCGTGTGCCTAGCCATGATCAGCTGTTCTAGACTCCCGCCGTTGATGTACTCCGTCAGCGCGTGGAGCTGACCCTCGTGCACGCAGACCCCCATAAACCTGGAATAATGACAAAAAGTTCATATCAAATGATCACTACGTTACATTCATTTATCAGGAAACTCGACAGAGTCTCGCGCCAAATACACAGAAATGCATCCGCGAACGGAGCCGACTACTCAACAGCGAATGAAATCAATAAATATTTATTTCTCTGATAAGAGGATGTATCGTGAGTCCATGTTTGGTACAATGAAAGTACCTTCCGTTTTGTAGAGTCTGTAAATTTTTTGTATACCTATTAAACACTTCGATATAGTTGTAGAGTGAAAATCGCGGCGGTCACCGCGTGATACTAAGAAAGGTGAACTCAAACAATAATTAACCGTTAAAAAAGTTCTTTCAATATCCGATATGCTCCGATTCCTTGACACGCGTATCTACTATCGTGACCTGAGGATTTCCACCTGGGTACTAAAGTATACAGTAATTAATAATTATTCTTTTTTCTCACGGCCACTTCCATGCCTTCCGGTACTAAAAGCTCGACACCGTTTCTTTTTTTATCGCTGGCGTTAAGATGCGGCATTAAAGTCGCCGTCCCCGCATTCTTGGAGGTGTTATCTCATGCCCTCGCGGAAAACGGGCCGCCCGCGTGTCATTAATTTTCAGGGAAAGAATAACCCGCGTTCGAATTACGCGAGTCTATTGTGTGCCTCTCGCGAAAAGGAAATAATCTCGGCCCGTAAACCGAGCTAAGCCCGTACTTACGTCGGTACAGTTGTGCCGTTTGTTTTACGATTTCTTCGGCACTCGCTAACACGCGAGATGCGACGTCATGTCGCGATTACCGACTTCTTTTTCCTGATCTTTTAATCTTTTCCTTCCCGCAAGAAATCTCGAACGTGATATCGTCGTCATCATGCAAATCGCCCGCGAACGCGTACTCGCCTCGATTAAATTAAGCTCTGTGAGATTTTCTCTTCAAAGTTTCCACCAAACTAGATAAAAAGGAGCTAATTTCCGGCGCAAACTGCTAACTAGTTACGCATAATGCACTTACGTTCGTGCGGTTGCGCCTCTTTATGACCAGCTCGCCATAGCTTCCTACACGCGACGTTATAACATAATATCATACAATGTTTTCCGGTACCGATGTTACAATCATTTTTATAGAAGGAGAAAATCTGGGTGAATTAGCTATGACATTATATTCTACAATATTTTCCGGTATCAATGTTACTGTTCTTATTACAGAAGGAGAAAATTTTCTCGAATTGAGTCCTGCGAGCAGTTTTCAGAGCGGCGAGACCCGGAGACCGAGAGATCGATGCCTGGTCGGTAAGGAGGACGTCTTCGATCCTGGTCGATCGATCTTTCGATCGTTAATTGCCCGTCGACTCTCTCCTCGAATGGTCGCCGTAGAAACCCACCATCGGGACAAATGGACGATCGTTAAAGAAACGGTACACCGAGCGCGGTCCTCAATTTGCAAAGACGCGCAGAATTTTTATCCAACTTTCCCTGAAAAAAGGACGAGCGGGCACGATGACGAGAGGCTACTATAATCGCGTTTCTATTCCCTCGCAGACTGTCTAATGACTGTCTTGCTCCAGCCTCAAAACTCCTCTATAACCAGTGAAATTTCTCCTAACTTCCCCTAGACAACCGAAAAACGGAGTCCAAGCCTGAAAAGTCCACTTCTTAAAAAACCACCCCATGCCGCGTCTCCATTTCTTTCAGAAACTGCCCCATGACTGACTCGCTCCAGATTCAAAAGTCTCCTATAACCAGTGAAATTTCTCCCAACTTCCCCTAGAAGACCCAGAAATGGTCCAACCCTGAAGACTCTACTTCTTGAAAGACGACTCCACGCTCGCGTTTACAACATCCCAACTTCCCCTAGAAGATCCAGAAATGGTCCAACCTTGAAGACTCTACTTCTTGAAAGACGACCCCATGCTCGCGTTTACAATATCCCAACTTCCCCTAGAGGATCCAGAAATGGTCCAACCCTGAAGACTACTTCTTGAAAGACGACCCCACGCTCGCGTTTACAATATCCCAACTTCCCCTAGAAGATCCAGAAATGGTCCAACCCTGAAGACTACTTCTTGAAAGACGACCCCACGCTCGCGTTTACAATATCCCGGCAAACAGCCCGATGGGGTACGACCTGTTCCAGATTTAGAAGTCCTCTGGAGGCAGTCAAAGCTAATGGACAAATAGGGTCTAATTAGGCATCCGTCCTCCTGGTGCGACCTTCCCGTCCAGATACGGTCCAATACGAAGGTCTCTGACCCACTTGGCCGGTGGTGAAGCTTCGGCGAATGCTCGCAATGAAAACATAGTGCCCGGAATACAGGCCGTTCTCCGTCTGCATGGCGTTGCCCAACCGGGAGGTTAGAACACCGGACGCATAACAGAAGTCCGCGAATATTCGTATTTATGGAGCTGGCAACTCAGGGGGGCTAAACCTGGCCAGGTGACTCAACGGCCTCTTCCTCCCAGATTTCGGACACCGGGGCCGCCTCTCCGTCCAACTCTCGTAAATCCTCGACCCAACCTGGCCAAGGCACGCACGCGCCTTCTAATTGGATCGTCTTTTTGTTGCCTAGGTGTATCGCGTGTACCTACACCCAAGGTCGATCGTCGGACCTTATCGACGACTGCGACTTATCAGGAATCGCTATCACGACATTCCTCCACGCCTGTTTTTGCACCGCATTGGTCACGAACTTGAGGCCAGCGGTTCCTCGGGTATCTGAATAGACGAAAAACCAAGTCCTCCCTTCAGGAGATACAAAAGGGTCATTCTACCACGAAAAGAGACATCATTGAATCAAAGAAATATTTTTTAATTTAAAAAAAAAATAATCATCCGACTCATATATAAACTGGAATAAATTGGACGCAACCTTTCTTTGGAATTGTGACAATTTATTTTAGACTAATAATTATTTTCTTGAATTAACAAAATATTCCTCTGGTACTATTCCAATAAATATTTTGTTCGGTTCAAGGATTTTTCTTCTCAGAGTGTGTATATATATATATATAGGAAAACGTCAAAATCTTTATATAACTTTTCTGAAAATATATAGAATGACTCTTTCATATCACCTTTAAGGCTGAAGAAAAAAAAAATGAAAATTTTGTACGTCGGTTTTGCTCGCCACTCCTTATCTGTGACAGCGGCTTATCAGGAACTCCTCGCTATCGCGAAATTCCTTACTCGACGTGTAGCCATTTTCTATGCTTGCTCGTCGATGCTCTAGTTTCGCAGGCATAACGAAATAGCTATTCCTAAAATGAGGTATGGCAGGTAAATTCTGGTTTCGCAGGTGTAACGAACCAATCTACACGCAAAATGATAAATGGCAAGTAATACGTATAATCGGAATTAATTTAATCGCAACTTATCAGGAATTGCTCGCTATCGCGAAATCCCTTGTACGTGTGGCCATTTCCTACGCTCGCTTGCAAATTTTCCAGAAATCCATTAATTTCCCAGGTGCCACGGAATATCTACATATAGAATTTAGAAAAAAAAAAAGAAAAAGAATAAAGATTAAATTCCATTGATAGCGACTTATCGAACATTGTGTCCTATCGCAAAATTCCTTTCTCACCGAGTTGCCACTATCTATGCTCTCTCTGTCCTGGAAATCCACTAATTTCGCAGGTGTAATGAAACGTGAATAAATAAAATAAGAAAAAGAAAGAAAAAAAAAAAGAAGAAGTAAAATTTCCTCTGAAAATACATTACCATCCTTCTAGAACAGGAAAATGTCACTTAACAAGATGTATGGAAAATTACGCTCACTGCGAGCAATTAGTTGCGGAAAAGCCGCGTACAAAGAGTTGCGCATTCGCAAGGTCGGCTCACCTGAGAATGTTGGGGTGACTCAGTTTGTTCATCAGCTGGACCTCCTTGAGCATGTTGGGCCGGTTCGCCGGAAGCTGATTCATCTTGAGGACCATCACCTGACTCGTCACTTTGTGGGTCACCTGAAAATCACGAGAGGTAAGTGTCCAGGGCCAGGTAAACCTGCGCGGATCGGCCGCGAGGGAGGCCGCGTTTCTCGATCGACTTTCTCGGGAGGTAATTGCAGGACCCGGTCTATATGCACGAGGAGTATATAGTGAGAAAAACATTTTTTAAGCTATACATACAAGGAATATGCACGTGGAGTATACATCGAGGAAAAAGATGTTTTTGCCACCAAAGAAATACGCATCGGATGCGCACAAAAAAATGAAATTCCGTCGTAAGGAATTTTTCTTGCCTCGACAAATGTGAACGCTTGAAAAAAACTTACTTAACTGGGGTAAGAGAAATTCTATTCATGGTGCCAGCATAGTTTTCTAGCAACGACAAATTGCATATCGCTCATCCGTTCGAGTAATGTCGATAATATTTCTTTGACTGTTGCTAGAAATTCATTTGTTAATATAGCAAGCGTTCTTTTCAATTAAGCTCTCTATAAAGAATGTATAGGACGAGCTCGGCGGTATCCAGAGATCGAGGAAAAAGCTCGCCAAAAAAAATGGAAAACCTCCTCTTTCACCGATACAATGGCCCATTGTCGGAACTACCGGCCAGGCCGTTTGGGCACGGAAGAAAAAGCCATTCTCTCACGGGAGAAACTTATTAATGAACCAAGAGTAGCATCTGCAAGAGCCGCATACAAGAGAGAGACGTTCTCCGCGGCTTCTTCGACGGGAGAAATTGGGTCCGAGGCGCGCAAAAAGACGTAAAATAAGATTAAGAAATTTTCCTTCCCAAAAAAAGAGAATGAATAAATTTTTAAAAATAATAGAAACGCGACCCCTTTCATGCCTGAGTGTTTCAGCCACCCGACCTGATCGCGCTAAATAAGCCGCTGTACGATGATAAGAATGTTTATCAAAATTCATACTTTGATTACATCTGCGTCTTAGTGAGATTATAAATTCGAAGGCCCGCAAGTAAATATGCAATTAAGATAAATTTCTAGAGAGGTTTATAATTCCATGACATCATAATTTCGGGAAATCAGTACACTTGTGTACTAAATGTACCGTGTGTTTAAAAAATATATAAATAAAATAATGTAAACTCCATACACCGATTATCGCTTCCAAGGAGAGAAAAAAAAGAGTGTTATACAATCGCAATATTTTTCTTCATACCCTCAGGGAATTGCAGGTGAAATTCACGCGACGACGGAGAGCCGAAGAATTTCTCGTTAACGGGTGGGAAAAAAAAAATAAAAAAAATGATACCGGGAGGAAAGAGGGAATCTGGCCAGAATTCCTTGGCAGAGCCTGGTTTAGTTGGACCAAAGCCAAGGGATGACGAATTCGCCATGGCAGCCACCAGTAAACAGAGGCACTCGCGAGATCCGCGAGTTTCGCGAATTAGTCAGAAAACCGGGAATTTCGCGAGTTCTGTCAGAAATTCGCGAAACGCGCGATTAATCCCGAGAATTCCGCGGAATCGCGTCTTTTCGGAACGGGGAGAATCGTTCGAGTTTCGCAAGGTCTGCTTTAAGGGCTCCTTGGGGTGGTTTTATGGGGATTCGAAAGTCGCCATCGAAGCTTTTTCGACCCCCTACTTGAAGAATCCGAGTCGAGATACTTCGTCAAGCCACCCCGACGTGTTTCTCATTAAAGTACCCTCCGAGACTTCACCCCGTAACCCCTGACACCCTCAGGATGCGCAGCTTCCCTTTGACTTTTAACAATTTTTCTTCTTGGCTTAAAAATGTTTATAAATTTAATTCCTGAGTAGACGAAGTTGGATCAAGATATACAGATTCCATGTGACAATTTAAATGATGTTGGCAACACTGATTGACAACTAAAGACGTGTGAAATTTACATGTTTACTAGTGTGGACGGAATAAGTGGAGCAGGTTGATACGAGGCGAGTTTCTCGCCGATGAAAAATTGGACAGCCAACCGGCGAGGGGGGAAAAATCGAGAAGAGGGGAGGAAAAGGAGACGCCGATGAGATCGGCCAGTCGGGTAAAAGTGGGCGCCGATAAAGCGAAAGAAGAAATCGGCCAGCCGGGCAAAAGTGGGCGCTGATAAAGCGAAATGAACGAGGAATTATATCTCGGTCGGTTCGCACCGAATCCCTCGCCGGTTTCTGAAAGTCGATCGAAAAGAAAAGAGAGTGCCTTTCGCGAGAGAGTCTCTCACGAGGCCCCCGACCCTCGCCCGAATTGCTCTTCCCGTTGTCGCAATCAATTCCGCGCAATTGGCCACGTCACCTGAATTCATTTCTCCCGATTTTCTCCGCCTTTTTTTTTTTTTTTCCCACTTCCGAATTTTCACCCCGGAGAAGTTCGCAGACACGAACGCCGCGAGCTCTCCGGCTTTCGGCCTGGTTCATTAGGCCATGCTCTCCCGGAAGCTTGACGCAATTAAAAGCGACAGTACTCCCCAATTAGACTACGGCAGCCCCGCGAGAAAAGCTCGGAGAGACGTGCGATCGCTTCCCAAAAATTTTCCCCTGATTTCTTTTTCTTACCCACACTTGTTAATAACCCCACATTCCATGAGGTAAAAATTGAAAAGTACGATAGAATAGACTGAAAAATAGGAGATACGTATTTTATTTTTTATCCGCGGAAAAAAAGAAAAACACTTTAAGGGGGTGAATTAGCCCTTCGCAAGTAATGGTATCAAGTGCAGATTTCAACGTATCGGATACATGAACACAATCTTTCCGGACCAAACCACTTGAAATATTTCTGTTACAATGGTAAATAAAAACCGCTATTTGCGTGGCTTGATTGAACATCTCAAACGCACCAAATAATTCTATGTGGCAAATCTGATACGGCGAGTTAAATTAGGAATGTTCTTAAATATACGATCTAATTTCGATATTTTGTGACACCATCCTATATTTATGAAGCTGGCATGGCGATTTAAATGAGCACGCACTCTAAGATAACTTTCGAATTTTATACTTTATCGGGAATGCTTTAAACCAACCTTGTCCAGTTAAAAGCACGGATATTGGATACATCCACAAGTGCATTCTAAATTGAGTATCCTTTGCCTGAATAGATCTTCCAACCCACGTTTCATGAATGTGTCAGTCTTTTTAACAGCGTATTCCCGCGGGTCATCCGCTAATGGACACCCGTCAAAAAAAGAAGGAAACAATCGACCTTTCGATTTCCTCCCCGCCTCTTAAACGGGGCAGAACGACCCAGCGAAAAAAATCCAATAAATCGGTAGTCCCGAAGAGCCTCTCCAAAGTTAGAGGTCGATTGATTCCCCTGAATGGATTTAATGGACATTTACCAACAGCAGCCCTCAGGATTGACAAATATCAAGATCTTTTTCTATAGTAGAAACTTGCCGATATAAAAAAAAAATCACGATAAAAATCGCGATTTTTTCTTTAATACCTTAATTATTCGAATAAACTCCTCGCGTGAAAGGTATTTAAATTAATATTTTCATCTAAACATTGCAATAGTTAACCTATGTTCAATTTTTAGTTTCCTGATATAACAGTGCGAGCACAGCGATCGTGCTGTCTACTATTCAGCTGTTTAAAAAGATCTTGATTTTTAAAAATAAACATCAGCTGAGCAAAATCGATCATTCGAATCATGATTTAAATCAGCTCAATCCTGACGGTCTTGAGTCCCGTGCGATCGATCGACCAAGAAAATCCGTAGATCTGGGTGAGATCGATCGATTTCTCCCAGTCCTAGGATCAATGGAGATCAGGATTAATAAATTCGAGCAGATCTTCGTGATCCTCCTCTTGCTCTCAATGAGAGGTCACGCGACTGCGCGGAGGATCGAGAGTCCTCTCAATCGAGATCTGGCGATCTCTCTGCGGATCGCACGGTCCGTAAATTTGGAATAATAAAATCCCTCTGATTTTTCAATCCTTTCTCTGTCCCCCATAGCGGGTCGCTCGAAGAGAGAATCGGAGAAAATACCGGAGGTCAAGACCCGAGGATCTCTCGGGAATAAATAATTAATAACGATTAATAACCACTTAATCCCCTCGGGAGGTAAATTCGCGGCTTTGAAGAAAAATCGACGAGAAATCAAATGACGTTATTTTATATACCTCCACGCAGAAAAAAAAGATTTCATTCATTTAACAAAATCCTTTGATTAATTTCATTGCATATGATTGCATATGATTAATTTCAGAAGACATTTCAGAAAATACAACACGGTGTTGTAAAATTGTAAATTCACTGAGAATCATATATTAAATGTATACTAATTCACCGTTAAGACGTAAAATTTATAATTTTACTGCAACCTTATGTACTAAAATTGTATGAACATTATGAATTTTTTCTAACAGTGTATATAAAATTCTTAATTAAGACATTTCCTCCCTCTTTCTCCCCATTTTCGTCCTCGGGGTAACAAATCGCCCGGGGGGTTCAGGGAAAATCTGGAAATCGAGACCGAACGATCTCTCTCTCAGAGGCGTGTCATCGATAAATGTTGATTAATCCCCCCCCCCCCCCCTCGACTTCCACTTTCTCCGACTCTCTATGCACGAGTGCAGCGAAAATCGTTTAGCGACGTGTCCCCTGGTCCTTCTGGAAGAGGCGATCTCGATCCCGCAGAAGATTCAGGAGATCCTCGCATCCAGGACGAGGAGAAACGCTTCTGCGGCGTTATTAGCGTGATCGATCCGAAAGGAAGCTGCGCATCTCGAGATCAGTGGACGCTTTCTTTGCGGATGATAAGATGATAAGTATTATCGAGGACGTTCCATGATCCATATCGTTCGTCATCGGGTACTACCTCCTAACACTCTTTTGTTAATTCTAATCATGAGGCGAACATAATCTAAACAGTAACAAAGGTGTGCAACAACGTCGTTGAAATCACGATATAATAAAGAAATTGTAAAAACATTAACAAATATAACCAAATTAAAGGGTTCTGAAAAGCGACGATGAGATAGAAACGTAATCGCGAAATGAAAGTGGAAATTAACTCTGTCAGAAAATCAAGTAAATACA